AACTCCCTCTTCTATGTAGTAACAGTTCTGTGTTGATAGAGATATTTATGTTAACCACTTTTTGAACCTAAAAAAGCATTGGAAGTCGGGCAGTAGCATCATACGAAAAGTTAAATACACACATAATAACTCATTGACAATACATTCAACAAACTAATTAAAAAAACAACCTAGGCTCATTTTGAAAACATACCTCTATATACATTTCTGGAGAGCACCAAATATGTCCCAGGTGCTATGTTTTATGCAGTTTTTGTTTTCGCTAATCTACTTGAGGCCTGCTGTTTACGCTTTTACAGATGTCAAATTTGTCTCTCGAGTGCCATTCGCGCCTGGTGTTCTCACATAAATCCACTAGAGCACACTGTTGACTGACTGACTGACTGAGTTAGCTGTTGTTTTTTCATATTTAGTTGTTTCATTTCCCAGGGGGTAGCTTTAGTGTAGTTAAGCTACACTTTAAGTGGAGTAGCTAATAGCTTAGCTCACTACATTTGTCAAGTAGCTTGCCCAACACTGCTTTTGCATTACTTTTTTCATCTGGACTGACTTTTCATATATATAAATATATATAGTTGAAGTCAGAATTATTAGCCCCCCTTAATTATTAGCGCCCTTGTTTATTTTTTTCCCCCAATTTCTGTTTAAGGGAGGTAAGATAGTTTCAACACATTTCTAAACATGATAGTTTTAAATCCTCATTTCTAAAAACTGATTTATTTTATCTTTGCCATGATGACAGTAAATAATATTCGACTAGATATTTTGGGTTGTCGCAAGGGCACTTTCAGATCATAGACAGGATACCCCATTGCAGTTTGTGAGTCTCAGAGCTCTGCATCAGGACTTATATGCTGCAACATGGTCAGGTATTCATCTCTTTAACGTATCTTTGAATAATTGATGTTGCACAATCTTGATTGGCTTATTTTGTTTAATTACGTGAACTGGAATGGAATATCTTTTGCCTGACAAATGCATGTAAAATTCTTGTTTGACTCTAATATCTCCTGAAATCATTTAAATCTAGTAGATTGTTTAGGCAGATGTTTCCGCTGCCTACGACCAGGATTAGTTATACATTCAGGCTCAATGGATTGAGCATAGAGACCTGTTGATTTCTGACAATCACTGACTTAGTATGATATAATCTAGGGGCTTAATCAAACCTTCTTTAAGTATGTGCAAACCAGCCTGATCTCACGAGAAAACGTAAGTATTTTACGTTTTGGCAGTTTAGTGGCTAATTTGTACGAATTCGTACAAGTTTAGTCGTAAGAAAATGTACAATTTTAAAAAGGAGGCGTGGCACCTGACCCCACCCCTAAACCCAACCGTCATTGGGATACGCAAATCGTACTAAAATGTACGAATTAGATCGTGCGAATTTGTACGAATTAGCCACTAAATGAAAAAGTTACGAATTGCCGTGAGATTGTGTTGGTGCAAACATAGGGCGGCCTATTATAACTCAAAGGATATCAGCTTATCTGCTAAGAATCAGAACTGGTGAAGATGTGTCCGTGAGCAGATGTAACTGGCCAGAATACTGACTCCAAGCGACTTCAGGTAAATAACCCATTAACTGAAAATAAGGATTTATTAGGTTAATCAATCTAAATTAGACCTAATCACGACCTATAACGTAATCAGCTTGAATTAATGAATCTAAATCTAAACTAAATTGTGCTCAGATTAAAATTCGGAGTTGGAAACAAAATAAATTTTAACAAATAAAAATAGTTCTTTTCACATGTGCTAAAAGGCATACACGCATTTAACCTATGCTGTTAGTTCCATCATAGGACTAATAGATGGACCCTTACACCTGTAACCATTGACATAGTAGTATTTGTTTTTTCCTACTGTGACACTAGGTGGTTTATGGACATTAAAATGATTGTAGCCTGAGAGTGCAGAATAAACTAATAAAAGAGTCAACTATTTGGGTTAAAGGGAGTCAACTCGGTTGATTCCGCAGACGCACACCAATAATTTATGAGTGATTGGTTGATTGATTTGTGAAATCTTGCTATATACATGGATTAACAATTTTCTAAAAGCATTAACCCCGATGTAGCTGTAATTTAAAGTAGATATATAACTGTTAATTTAAGGTTCATAGGGTTTATTGCTTTATTTTACATAGAGGTCATTTCAGGATCACATCAGCAGTCTCACATCATTACTTTCCCTTTATTATCTGGCTCTCGCCTGTTATTTGTTATTACAAGCAAACAAAAGGGTCAATAAAGGAGAAAATGGCTTCTGTTATGTTTCTGTTACACCTGGATTTAAGCTGTCAGGTTAAAATCATAATTAATAATCCTAACTGATGAATTATCTTCATGATAGTGTGGGTGTGGACAGTATGAAAGAGCCGTTGAGTTTAGTCAATAATGTTTTCAATTTAAATAGAAAACTGACTGGGAGGCGTATTTGTTATTAGTTGTTGTTTTTTTTTTCATATTTAACCAGAGGAATTATCAGAATATTTTATTCAAAACATGTTCATAATCAAAGAATAACATTGTTAATTTCACTTCACTTAATTATTGTTAATAATATCCTGTTTAGATGCTTTCTTGAAGCAGCAAAGGAACAGAATCAGATAATTTTAAAAGAATGCATTACAATCTTATATATATATATATATATATATATAT